GTTATCAGCTTAAATTCAATATGAGCCCGATTCCCTCATGATAGCTGGACAATTGTTGACAGATGCGCATTCCGCTCACGTAATACAGCTGATGAGAAATCGCATTCTACTACCACTACTGTCACTGTCTCCTTTCCTTTCGCATTTCTGTGCAGAGAGTACGAAATCACCAAACAGTAATTCTTCGAGAACAGACAGCAGCGAAAGTATGGAACGTATCTGTCGTATACGCATGAGTAGAAAAGCCTTCAAGACAGGCAATTACAGATACCTAAACTGAAGACCTCTCTGATATTAGCATAACGAAATTGAGAAGTAAATGGAAAAGAAGGAAATATGCTGGAAAAATATTATCATCAGGATTTGTTCATCCATTGCTAGGTGAAACCTTTTCCAACACATCACCATGAACTTGTGTTTTCATCCATCTTAATTTAGAGAAGCTCTTTAGCCCCAACGTCTTCCAACTGGCAATTTACTATCACTTGGAACAAAGCACAATATCTATCTGGCTAAGCGATTGTCAGTTCTTCTTGCAACTTCTCCTGCCAATAGCCGCCTTAACTTCTTTACTCGAGCGGTGATACTGATCAGCCTTTGCCATCCTCTTTCCCATTCATTTACCTGCCTACCTTTTCTTCTTATTGCCATCATACGTCTTTCCAGGGCAGCTTTTAAGCTTATATTGTACTTTCGCACATACAGGCTAGAATTTGCAGCAGACACTCATCGACAATGTTCCGTATCAAGCTCTTTCGTCTTTTCTCGATATGGACATTTTCAATTTTCTAAAATTGCCCAACTGCTTGGAAATTACATACTCTGATGGGCATCATATTACAATATTTCGGAAGCAAGTGGTGCATGAGTCTGTTGAGATGGTGGTTACTAATCATTTCCCATTTCCCAATGACATATGTCCGCGATCAAACGCACATCAGGTGTTTCACTTACCTGAATCCGTTGACCAGCAGCAGGACTAAGATCAGGGAAACATTCTGAATAATTCACGTGACTGGCTCGGCAAAAATGTTTAAGTAAAGAACAGCTGCAACCCAGCGCGTTGGTCTGAAAAACAGCTGCAACCAGGTTCTCATCAATGCAGCATACGACTGGTCTCGGTGAGAAAACTCGAAAAAAATGGAAGAGCGTCGATGGGCGTTGCGCGACGCACCCGCAACGAGAGAAAGATAAAAAAATAAAATAGCTCAAATGATGTTTTTATTTTGATACACCAATGGTGCTAGTCGAAATCCTCCTCGAACCTCTAACCGGAAACGCCATACCTTTTCTAAATGGATTTTCCTTAACAGCTATGCGGTTTTTCAAACCAAGATTATGGGGGGGGGGAGGTTGTGGATGGAGAGAACGATGACTATGAGCTTTCATTTGTACAATCACAGCAACAAATGTC